AGTCTGCTTTGCTCTGCTCTGGACCCACCAGAAGTCTTCCATGTTTCAGTTCCAACCAGGGAACACAGTTTTCAGTCTTCCATGGAAATGGAAAGTGTGCCCTCCTGGAGGGAAGCTCAGTTACATAAAGAAAAGTACCTGTTTCTGGTCCCTGATTGGTTCAACTTCATGCAAATGAGGCCTCTAAATTCTTCCAGTTTGACTGGTCCAAAAAACATTGTCCTGATTGGCCACAGTGGGGCCACTCTGAGTGGTCAGTGAAGATACTAATGGGGATATAGCCGAGTAGATCCAATTGTACAGGGAAAGTCTCAGTCATATTGGTTGAAATATAATTCCAGGGACTTCTTTATAAGGGTAAGCTCAGATGGCAGAAATACAGGGCAAGCAGGTAGTTTAGTGCAGGAAGCAGGTTTCTTCCAAAACCATGGCTTGGGTGAAAGGCTCCTGTGTAGAAATGGCTTCTAGGTTCTGTTTTTTGTTTGTTTGTCTGTTTTAATTTAAGCTTTTCTTAGTATGTATATTCTTTCTCAGGTTCCACATAATGGAAAAGTTGAATAACTTTAACTGATAAAGGGTGGAAACAAGTGTGGCTTCAGGGACTTCAAGTGCAGAAGTTTGTATCACTTCATCCTTGTGCTCTACTACTAAAATGACAGACCTGTGATTAATATACTTTTTTTAAAAAAAAACAAGAACATGATCATTTGTTGATCCAATTGCTTACCCAGACCAATAAATTAAAGCAAGGAAGACAGGAGTATTCACTGAAAACATAGTTGTGAGGACTGTCCCACTTCACCCATAGTCTGGACACACAATGTAAAAGATAAAAGCTATAGTACAGAATATCCAAGGAATGTTTCAACAGTCACATTTCAGAAATAATAGAACACCAAATAGCCAGTACTTAATTCCTGGTTACTTATTGTTATTATTTTACTAAGTTAAATCTTTCCAAAGAGCTACCATTTTAAATCTCATCATACCTGGACTATGCTGTTGATCTTTCTCATTTGATGTAATTTAAGATGCAAAACTTAGACTTTAGGAAATGAAATACCATATTTTCCCTATATATTGTGCACTCACACTTTTGTGAGCATTATATATGGGATTATTATACCCATTGTTATACTCATGGTATGTAATCATTATATTCATGTACAATGTGCATCCTTATTTTTCCCTCAAAAATTTGAGCAAAAAAGTGTGCATTGTACATGGCAAAGTATGGTATTTGCTTATTGTGATTCTTAGCTCATTAATAAGGCCAGGCTACATATCTCTGTATGGGAATATATTTCATCTGAGTGAAATGGAAGTTTCCATTCCTAATCAGAGCAAAGGAAGCTGGTTGGATTACCTGAATAGCTGTGATTAAGCCAAGAGATGCTGATGTGTCCATCTTCAACATATGAGCTCAGATATTATTTTTACCTCACCCAGAGTAAGACTTGACTGTTCCAGGATTGACATCTTTTCAAATTCTCCTTTGTAAGGGTTCAAACAATCTTGGGTCTAGATTCACCCAAGATTGACTTGTTACCACAGCAATGATATTCTTTATTAAATAGCCCCATGCTTTACATCATATGGGTTACAATAGTCACTGTAAAACTGAGTAAGATCAACATTAGGCCCAAAAGTCTGCCATCATTTCTTTCCTAAAAATATGAAAAGAAAAAAAAGCTTTCATCATTATTATCACCACTTATCTCTTCAGAAAAATCTTTAACTATTACAAGCTATCAAGTTTACAGTTAAGTATGCAAATTTCCCAAAATTTTAGTTTTGCTTGAAAGGTCAAATTTTATTGTTGGTGACAAATATTGTTTGGTGTTTTCTTTGAAGGCTTACCTCATTCATTTTTTAAATATTTTATTTATTTATTTTTTAGAGAGAGGGGAAAGGAGGGAGAAAGAGATTGAGAGAACATCAGTGTGTGGTTGGCTCTTGTGAGCCCCCTACCAGGAGACTTGACCCACAGCCCAAGCATGTGCCCTGACTGGGAATCAAACCAGGGACCTTTTGGTTCACAGGCCAGCACTCAATCCACTGAGCCACATCAGCCAGGGCTCACCTCATTCATTTTCAAGAAAATGTCTGTCCAATACCCAAGTCAGAAAAACCATGGTTTTTCTGCCATTCTTTCAAGTAAAAAGAATGAGGTGTTCCGTGAAAAAAAAGCAGCTAATTCAGGGCCCAACTCAAGTGACTGCAAATATTTTTCTTTGCGACAAGTATTTTATTAAGCTATGCATACTAGTGTCTGTGAACACTTCCTATTTTATCACAAAAATATTAAAGAAACAGGCACTCCATTAAGGACATTTTAAAGTGAAATCTGACTTAAAATTTTTTGAGAGTGTGACTGTAAGGAAAGCAATCACTACTAGTAAAGTTTGGGGACACCGCCTTGAGTTATACCCACCATTGCTTTTTCACCATCAGTGCAAGTGTTAACTTAGTGAAAATAAAAAATGACATGTTAGTATTGTTTTGAAAATAATTCTGACCTTATAGTTCCAGGAACCTGAAGTGGCCTATGGACTATACAATCAAGAACTACTGATGTACAATATGATTCCAATTCTGTGTAAAAATACACAGAGATTACATAATACATATCTGAAAGAATTTTCACCCATTTTCAATTGCAGGAGTCTTTTTTGACTGATGCCACAGATTCTTACATTTGGTGAATAAATACCTTTTCATGCCAATATTATACAAGTACAACACAGTTTTTAATAGTTGTACAACATTTTACTCTGTGAGTATACCACCTATTTTTTAGCTAATTCTATAGTAGATAGGCATTTAAATTGTTTCTAATTTTGTTCTTAGAAACAGTGCTTAAATGAACATTTTTATATATTCTTCTCTGTACAATTATTTGATTATTTCTTTAAGAAAAAAATCCCACAAGTAGAATGCTTGGCTGAAGGGCATGTACATCTTTAAAGCTTCCTATGAAGTTTGCCAAATGGCCTTTCAGATAAGTTGTGCCAATATATAATACCAATCTGTCCCTTTTCTATGTGCCCACCTCCCCAGAGTCCTTATCTCTATCTCTTCCACAGCCTGGCATACAATGAAACAAATGGGGTTTTTGTGAGGCATGGCAGGAAAGTGAGCTGGATTTGGAAAATCTCTAGGACCTTTCTCATTTTCTGCTTTCATTGCTTCAGTGGGCCAAGGAGGAGAGAAAGGGAGATGACTGCTCTTAAGTGAAGAGGGTGGGGCAGTTAGGACTCCCATAAAGTTCTTGCCACTGCCTCTTTTCTAAAAGAAGAGCAGTCCTAGACCTCTAACCTTGCAGGGTCGGGGAGCACTCTTTGCACCAAGAGTCATTCTATCTGTCACACTACTTTTTCTCATCATTAGTAATAACAACTCACTTTGACATTACTTAGTAACCAGAATTGCCCAAGAAAGAGAGTTTTCTCTATCAGCACCTGCACCAGATTATTCAGTGCTTCCCTTTCTGTTGATCTACAGCAAAATCAGACAGATCTTGGTACTTTTTTTTTGGTAAGAGTCTCTTATTACCATTATTCCCTAACAGTTACTATAGTCACTGTCTTATTTCACTCTTCATCTCATGCTTGGTTTATCATACATTCCTAATAAATGTTCTTATTTTCAGTCTCTACATCTTCTGACAGTGCCCCAGCTCCAATCTATCTTGCACATTGCCACCAGATTATTTTTCTTTTTGTCAAAATTTCTAGTAAACAGTCTAAGTGTCCATCAGTAGATGTGCTGATAAAAAAAGCTGTGGTGCATTTGCCAAATAGAATACTACATGGCTACAAAAATGAAAGAACTCTTACCCTCTGCAACAGTATGGATAGACCTGGAGAATATTACACTAAGTGAAATGAGCCAGTGAGAGAAAGACAAATACCAAATGACCTCATATGCAGAATCTAATGAACAAAATAAACTTTTGGACAAATACAATCAAACACATGAATACATGGAACAGACTAACAAATCTCAGAGGGTAGGGAGATGGAGGGACTGAAAGAGATCAGCTGAAGAACATACATGCAAATATGCATAGCCGACGAACACACAACAATGTGGTGAAGGCTGGGGTTGGGGCTGGAGCTTTGTGGAGGGGGAAAAGGGGGTACATCTGTAAGTGTCAACAATAACAAAAAATCCAGTAATTTCCAGAATATGACAGGGCAGTATTTCAGTATCTCAACTTGGGATCAAGATCTTCCCTAAACCTTTCTCACCCTACATTTCTCCCTTTCTCTCTCATTACTCCTCTTCTTACAACTTCCATTTCAGTCCAACTGGTTATCTTCTTATCACTGGAACAGATTCCCCACCTCTGTGCCTTTTTTTTCAAACCATTTCCCTCTTCCCAAATGCCCTTGTTTTCTCATGCTATCCTCAAGGACTCAGCTTACCTGTTCCCTTCCTCAAAGCTTTCTATCAACTTCTGCTTCATTTAGCCAGACAGCATACATATAACAATGGGCATATATATGACTACATACTGTTACCAATTCTTTTGTATTTATGCATCTTATCTGTCCAGTTAGATTTTAAATTCAAGCATTAGAACAATCTTTTTATCAGTCAAAACATACAACTTTATTGATGATACCCAAATGAAGTCTTTGGTGGATAGATTCAAGTCAAAACAAATGATAGAAGGGTAGGCTATTAATAATGGACAAGTTCACTTCAATTCACATAGAGGAACTAGTAAAAATATTTCCATTCAAGCAGCATGATTAAAGTCACAAATGCGTTTTCAATACAAAAGGACTATTTGGTATTCATAAAGTGGTTTAGCTTAAAGCTGGAAACTGTCACAGATAACATCACTCTGGATGATACATTATTCAAACCTGCCAGCTGAGAGAATCACTTTATAATATGAGCAAGTGGAGAAGCAGTAACTTTCAATTTTCATTGCTTCCAGACTACAGAACCCAGGAATTTCCTCAAGTCTTTTGAGAACACATAGCCAATCAGAATTTGTCAACTAGTTTTATAACTTTCACTTTCACCAAAAGGTCATGATGATCTGCTAAAGCTTGAATTTTCTTAACGCACACTCCAGATGTAGTGCATAAGTAAAAAAGGGAACCTTTATTGAATTCTCTGTAGTTGAATACTTCTGCTCTGAGATTGTCATAGATGATCTCAAATAGAGTAAGAGCATTAATAAGAATTTCTGATTCCACATAAGAATTATAGAAGGAACTAAATGATGATGGCACTTGGGTACTCAGGAGTTTTTTTTAACATATCTGGATTTTCAGCAAAATTTGCAAGTATTTTCAAAATCTCAACCTTGATTTTTCCACCTCCTTGAGATAACAAATGAAAAAAGTTTGCAATAGAATTGACAAGCAGGTGTTGGTAGTCATTAGTAATAGTCATGTTTGTTAAAAATTTTAGTCCAATTATCTGTACTGCTGAGTTCAGATTTGAGGCCATGATATCATCCATCACTTTATTCATGTATACCTGAAGCCGGCCCTGATTTTCATAATTCTCACTCAGGTTATTCATAGCCATTAAGGCTTTTTCCTTAATGTGGGGATCAGTTTTGTTGATCATGTTTGCAATAATTGGGAGGCCTCCTAATTTACAAATTGTGTCTTGATTGCATGAATAATTGGCATTATTGCTCAGAGTGAGCAAAGCTACCTGTTGGATGAAAGGATCGTCTGATTTCTGAAGCAAAGCAAGTACTTTCCTTAGATCTCGGACACCCAGAATCTCATCGATATCATAAGGAAAGGGGCGCTTCTGCATGGGAACAGGTCTCCTCCCTCTCCCTCTCTGCTGAGTCTCAGGCTCAGAGTCTGACTCCGATTCTGTGTCAGTCAAACTGGACTTCCCATCCTCAGAATCAGGGACCTCTGCCAGGAAAGCCTGCCCCTCATTAGCAGAGGCTGCAGCAGCTGCTGCAGCCCCACCCCCAAGGTGGAATCCCAGCCCCAGTTGGTCTACTTCAACCTTGCTGTTTTTCTTGCCCTTGCCCTTGTCCTTGCCTCCAGTTTGGGACTTGGTTCCACCCTTGGCTCCACCTTTGGGTACAGCTCCAGTTGCTGACCCAGCCTTAGCTATAACCCCAGTATGAGCCCCAGGAGTCACTTTCTTGGCAGCTGCTGCTGTTTTAGGGGATCCCAAGGTTTCAGGAACTTCTGTAGCCTCAGAAAGCCCAGGTAGTATAGAAGCCTCTGTTGCTTCAGTAGGTGCTGCTGCCTCAGTAAGTGCTGGTGTCCTGGGAGGCACTGCTGGTGCCCTAGGAGCTTCTGCTGTGCCAGGGGCATTTGCCAATTTTGGAGTCCCTGCCATTGTGGGGGCCTCTGCAGCCATGAGGGTCTCTGCCTCCCTGGGAGTTGGTACCATTGTCAAAGCCAGTTCTGCCCCAACTACTGATTCTGCCTGAGGCCCAACCCAGGCCCTTTCTGCTTCCAGGGCCTGACTTCCAGTCCCACTCTGAGCCTCAGCACTGGATGCAGCTGGGGCCACTACCTCAGCTGCAGCTGCATCCAGGGCAGAGGCCTCATCCTGGGCCCTGTCCTCTTTCCCAGTGTGGACTGGGGTTGGGGAATGAAATTCTGGCCCAAAGTCTATTGTGAATCCAGCCCTTAGTCTGATTCTATCCCTGGATCCATTCCCAGCTAGAGCCCTTGCCTTGGGTTTGGCCAGTCTCTTCTTTGTCTGGTTTCTTCTCCTAGTGTATTTGTAGACACAGTACCAGGCACTTGCCCCGATGACTATCCCAGCGGCTACACAGCCAGCATCCCGAACTCGGCTCATGGTGTAGCTGGAATAATTATCTGATCTGGAGGTGGAGTTGGCTTGCCCAAGCAGGATATGTGTACCCAGAGCAAGGCACTTCAACTCAGGCTCACAAGTTCTGCAGAGGCTGCAAGTCAAGCAAGACATATGGTAAAGGATAGAAATGAAGTTTAGGGCTCTGGCTCACTTTGTGCCTGATGAGGCCTAGAGAAGAGTTTGGGAACATGACCTTGGTGGGTTGGCTAGTACCCAGACACTTGTGTCCAGGCATGTGTTTGCTGATTCAGGACCCTGGTCATCCATTTTATACATCTTCATTCTTAGCTTGCCCTGGTTAATGAGAAAAATTTCCCAGCACCTAAATAGGGGTTTAGAGGCAGTACTGATGTCAGGAAAGCGGATGCAGAGCAGGAAACTCAGTAGAGACCCCAGATTCTGCTCCAATTCCTCCCCCCATGACCCCAAGGGTCTCCAGATGGTGCTCATGCACATACGAATTATCTGTGAGCAGGTTGCCCTTTTCCAACAGGCTTGTAGTTGTGCAAAGCCCAAAAGGAAGACAGACCTGTTGAGAGATCCCAGAAAGGGTGTTTTGGGGCCTTTGATAGATTGATTCTGCTTCCTGTCTGATTTGAACCCCTGTGGGCCAAGTTTTTCTCTCACAAACCTCTTCTTTCCATCCCTATCACTTCCTTCTCTAACCTTTAGTTAAGAAGGTAGATTGATGCTACACACCCTCCCTGCACCAAAAGGACAGGCCCAGGGCAAGGTTGTCTTGTAAAGAAGATGGAGGAAGAAGAACCTCTGGTTCCAGATCTGCTCTGGTTTCTGGCACATCCACACCAGGGATTCCCAGACAGTTCTTGCCCCCATACTAACCTCAAAGGATTGAGGGCTGTTTCTCCCTCCTTACGTTCAGTTACAGCTTCATCTTAAGAACAGACTGAAAGATAGAAATACAGACAGCTGATGTTGGAATCTGGTGGATGGAACAAACCCAGGACAAGTTCAAATAATTGCCTTTTAGCAGTCAAGTACCAAAATAACAAATGGTTCCATCTCTCAATTCCTTCAATTCTTCTCACCTCTCCCCTTCCACCCCAATCCCTCATTCCTGCGCAGACTCCCCTGGTGCTCAAGCTCAGCCCCTCCTTCCTTTTGCCAGGCTCCCTGTCCACCATTTCTCAGGGACAGACAGCCATACCAATTCTTCTGCAAGGAAGCAGAAACGGGCGGGGCGAGGGTGAAGTGAAAGCTGGATGGGACATAGTACCGAGGATTACTGCCAAGCAATCTAGTGCTCCCTCTTGTGACCACTTGCCCTTAGTCCCCAACTCCCCAGGCCTAGTATTAACCTGCAGAACTGGAACCCCAATGTCTGCCCTGTGGATTTGAGGGTCGTGATTTTCTACTGTTTCTCCGTTCTGGGCAACTCCTTCCACACTCCACCCAAATACCCTGTTAACCACCATTTCTCCTGCCAGGGCACCCAAACTCTTTTTCCAAAACTGCAAAAACAAAAACAAACAAACAAACAAACAAACAAACAAAAAAAAACCCACGGAGGTGAAGGGCCATATGGGCCGGAGGTGTCTGGAAAGTAGCCTGGGTGTTAGCATGGCGGTTTAATACCAGATTCTTTCAGGGTTCCCCCCTCCTTTGAAGCCCAGAAAGTGCCAAACCTTCCATCTCCCCTACAGAGGCTGGCACCCCTATTTCCCAGCACCTCCAAAAGACAAAGAACCGGCTGGCAGGGAGGAAAAGGTGCGGAGATGGTGGTGGGATGGGGGGAGCTATCTGCAAAGTGAGGGTGGGAATGAATCTGCCAGATTGTTTCCAAATTGGGGGACCCTCGGTTACCCTTCCCCAACTTCCCCACTGGCCTTATTACTCTGCCGCTTTTATTTCTCTTCCCTCCTCCTCTCAAAACAAGACAGGACTTGGGGTGCAGTGCCTGAGTGTCAAAAACAAAACCGAAAAACACTGGCTGGGAGAGGAAGTAAGCGGATTCTCCGCAAGTATATAGAGTCTTTCGGTTCCCCCTCCCCCTCTTCCCGAGGCCCACCAAAATGGTCTGCGACTGATCGCGGGGATTTGGAAAGCCAGCCAGAACAGCGTGAAGCGGAGGCCCCAGCGGCCTCAGAATCCCGCATCTCGTGACTACCCCTTTCATTGGTGCCAAGCCATGACCACCCTCACACCCACCTGCCCGGATCTGGGGAAATTTTCTCCTCCTCCTCGCCTGGGTTAAACGCACTGCAGTGCGCAGTGAAATAGAGTTGGTACCCAGAGGAGGATGGAGGATGGCTGTCAGGGCTTTAAGCACCTTTGCCCAAGTCAGCTCCTGGTCATGTGAGGGCCGCATTGCCAGTAAGCTTGGGTCCCCAGTTTCCACTCCCACTGAAAGCGAGAGCCTCCTCCTTTTCCCCCACTCCCACCTCACCTTACCACATCAGGTCCTGTCACTCATATGTTTTGTCTTTGTATTCTCAGAGGCCAAACGTAGCCCCTTTTCCGTGTGTTAGATTTTGCCTTTTTCTGATTACCGAGGAGGGGGATGCATTTTCTCGGGCTATTGACAATTTTTACTTTTTTTTTTGGTTGGGTAATTGTTTCATCCTCTTCTAAGCAACTGGGCACTCTCCCCTTGCTTCACCTCCAATCCCTGATCACCTAGTGTCCATCATTTGCTTTGTAGTTGGGTCTCTGCTCCAGTATAGGTTAAGGGCAGAGTGTCAGACAGGAGACAAGAGGTGGGAGTGGGGACTGTACTTCTCCAACACTCCTCATTTTTGTTTTTAAAGCCATCACCACCCTTTATTATTATAATAAGAAAATACAAGAGTTCAGTGTGGGAAGCAGCAACAAAAACAAGTACTCATATTTTATAAAAAAGATTTCACACTACTATTGGAAGGCACCATTAATTCTGGTTAATTTTTACCACATAGAAAATGAATTATATTAACTGCATAGGAAATAGTTTTCAAAACATGCCAAGGTATTTAAACAGTTAAAAAGGGAATTCTTCTCAACAAGATAAGCATGTTTCCATATGATCTGTAAATTGCTCCTTGGAGAGATATTCACTTGTCTGATATGATTTATTTTGGACAAATAATATCCTACTTTTTCTCTTTCTGGGACAACTTTTAAGTTGGACAAATAAATGATCCTGTCTTGTTCTGTTAGAGAAGTACATTTATTTAATGTTCCCAAAACATTGCTGACTGCTTTATGAATTTCCTGTAATTTGATGGCTGTAACCATGACACCTTTGAACACCTATCCTTGGATTAAGTTCCAGTTTTATGATTCAGTTCTGGGCAAAAGGAGCAGTCAGGCCAAGTTGTTAAGGATATGAACAATACAGAGATGGTCAAACTTCCCTGTCCAGTCAAGGGGGCAAGGAAATGTGCTTCCCCTGTATCCACTCCCATCTGCCAGAACCTCTCATCAGCTGCAGTCAGGCATCTGACTCTGTTGCTCACTCTAAAGGTAAAATGTCACCTTTCCACAGGTGACCAACCTGAGTAAATGCCTTTGGCTTCTTCCTTCCCTCTGTCTGCTAAATTCCCACAGAGGTAACTCAAGGATGCATAAAAGGGATTGCTTATCCCAATTACTCCTGCAGCTGTGGGTTTCCATGAAGCCTGGAGAAGTAGTTGGTGACAGAAGCACCCAAGTCTGCCTGCTCTGCCCTCATTCACTGTTTAGGAATTAACATTGCTCTTAACAGTGTTTGACACTGCTTGACACTGTTTGCTGCTAACACCTGGCCTGAGAAGGCCAGCCCCTCTCACCTCTAGCCTCCTCACTGCAGGCAGCCCATGCTCACTTTAGTGCCTCCTCAGCCAAATATATGCCATACCCCAAGGGACTCTCCCCACTGGTCACACTGGCCCCACTGATTAACCTAGAGTAGGTGTTCTTTATTTTTTAAAGATTTTATTTATTTATTTTTAGAGAGAAGGGAAGGGAAGGAGAAAGAGGGAGAGAAACATCAATGTATGGTTGCCTCCTTCACACCCCCTATTGGGGACCTGGCCTGAAAACCAGGCATATGCCCTGACTGGGAATTGAACCGGCGACCCTTTAGTTTGTAGGTCTGTGCTCAATCCACTGAGCGACACCAGCCAGGGCTAGAGTAGGTGTTCTTAACTGGTCACCACTGTGGTCTACCTGAAATTCTATGCAAGTTTTTGTTTGTGAGTGTATGTGTGATTAAGCATATTTCATTTCCAGAAATAGAAGCCATTGACCTCATCATTTTCTCAAGGGGTCTGTGACAACTTCCCCAGATAGTGAGAACCAATACAATGGCCTAGAAAGTCTGTGTTACATATAATATTTTGTATTAGAAATCTCTTTTTTTCTGGTAATAACAGTAATATATATTACTGGTTAAAATATTCAAAACAATAAGGAAATATATAAAGTAATAAATTTTCCAGTCCCAGCCACTACTAACAATTTCTAACTTTCTTTTTGTGAACATATTAGTAAGTGCATTTGTGCTTATTAATCGAGTTCCAAATTGAGTAACAATAAACAAATAATAGGTATTTGAAATTTGTATTGTCATTTGCAAAAAAAAAATTGAGGAACATTGACATCTTAACATTGGCACTTCCCCTTCATGAATAAGGCACATCTTCACTTTGCTCAGTGTTAATCAAATTTCATATGCTTCTTCTGCTAAGTAAATCCTATAACTTGTTAGGTTTTTCCTAGGTATTTAGTAGTCTTTGTTGCTGAAATGCTATTCCTTTCTCCAATTGCATCTTATGTTAGGTAATTTTCTGTTTAAGGAAAAAGTTAAATTATTTACTTTATATCTGCTAATTTTTGTGGTCTGTCTTATTGATTCCAATAGTTTTCAGGTGATGTCTTTGGTTTTTGAAGTATGTATACATAATCATTTACAAGTGATGATTTTTCATTTCTTCCTTTACAATATTCATACTTTCTTCCTTTTTCTGCATGTACTACATTGACCAGAAACTCCAGAACTGTGC